ACTGACATGAACTTAATTCTTCCATTCTTACTATTCTATCTTCCCAGTATGTTTAATTATGTATATCTTGCCAAGCTACCTGGAAAATATTTTGGTTTTTCCATACAAAGTATCTCATATGTGCCTGAATAATTTTCTGGGAGCTTCATACATTTTTTTTTTAAATGTCTTATGGTCATGCAGTACTCTTTTTAAGTTTGGTATCAAGATATATAAGATTGGCATTTATTGAATTTTACTTCTGTTAAAGGAGAGGAATGTAGCTGAGTCTTCAAAATATCATATAAATTTAGTTCTTTCTTGGGCAGTGAAGCAGATCAATTATACAAGATATGTTCTGTTCTTGGTACACCAGACTGGACTGCATTTCCTGAAGCAAAGAACACCTCTCGGTTAATCAATATTAGTTATTCAGATGTAAGCTCTTTCCTTGGACTGTTCATTAATTTTCTCTGTTTACCTATTTCCTCACTTTGCGCATGTTGTTCTTATCTCCTGTGTAGATTTTGCCTACCAACCTTTCTGATATAATTACCAATGCTAGCGCAGAGGCTATTAGTTTAATCACGGTGGGTGTCTATATGTACTAGGTTGTTGCAGTTGTTCTGTTGGGTTAACTAGTTTTGATGTATTTTGGTTTCTTACATCTTTTCTACTGATTGTAGCAACTTTGTTCATGGGATCCACTGAGGAGGCCAACTGCTGATCAAGCATTGCAGCATCCATTTTTTAATGTAACATGTGTTCTCAAGTCTGTTCCCAGCTTTCCTTTTATATTAGATAAATCACTAACATGTGCTGAATAGGTGGGTGCATTGGTTTCGTATCCACTCCGAGATCCACTTGAGCTGAGGCTAAATAACATGGGTGAGCTTTCTGAAGTTTGTTGCTGGCTATCATATGTATTTGTTGCATATAAATTATTTCACTTTTTTCTTTCCTGAATTCAACATATCATTTTCTCTTTGTATTGCTCTCCAGGGGCAACTCCAAATCTTGAGTTGAATCTCTGGGACTTCGACACTGAACCTGATGACTGTTTTCTTGGCTTAACACTGGCTGTAAAACCTAGTGTCCCAAACTTGGGTAAGCTTTATTATTCCTCTGGTGTCTAGTTTAGTACAGCAACATTTTCTTTTGATGAAACCGGGTGAACGAGTTGTTTGTATTCATGTGTCACTCTTTTCTATATTTACTGCATGGTGCATGAAAACTTCTCTGAATGTTGTATGGATACTCATTTGTCTTCTTCCTGGCTCTGTTTTCTCCTCTTTGGTTGATCAACTTGGTTTGCCTAACAGAGGTTCCTCCATATAGAA